CACAGTTACTTCTGCTCACAGTTACCTCTGCTCACACTTACCTGTGGTGATGCAAGCAGAATGCTGAGGGTCCAAGCCAGTAGCAACATGCGTCGGTTCCTGCTGTGCGCACTCAGAGCATCTAGTGGGTGCAGAATCGCATGCTGGCGATCTAGGCTGATGACAACAAGGATGAAGGCAGAGGCGTGCATGGCGAACAGTTTCAGGAAGCAGAGCAGCTTGCAGAGCGCATCACCACCATACCACTGCACTGTCATGTTCCACACTGCATCCAGAGGCATCACCACAAATGTCATCATCAGGTCGGCTGATGCCAGGCTCAGCATTAATGGGCGCAGGTGAGATGCCAAACGTTGCCCTCGCCACACACTGACCAATAGGGCAAGATTACTGCAGGCAGCAAACAAGAAGAGGACAAAGGTGGCTCCAACTCGGAACTGAGCAGCCCGGGTGAAGCTGGGAGCCTCCCAGTCTGGTAGAGGAGGGTACTGGGAGGTGTTGTGAAGGGTAGTGGCTGTAGAACTGGTGGGGGGTAAAGACAACCTCAGGATGGACCAGTTACCTGCCATCCTGTACAGAAGAAGAAAAATGAAAATGAAGTTTTAGAATCACAATCACATTCTTAAAAATTACTAACTGCTTTCAGTTAGTAAGTTTTAGGAGGTAGGGTTAACTTAGCACAAACACTAGCAGCAGGTACAAACTGTTAGCTTACCTTAGCACAAGCTATAAAAGCAATCTGAAACTGTTAGCTTAGCAAAAACCTTCTTATAACCATTTTCTTTTAGTCATTAAGCAGCGTATTCATTGGACGCTGAGCATTCATAGCAGGTACATTTGTGTACCTGTGCCCTCAGGGTTGTCTGACAGTTAAAATGTTTTCCTGGGGTCACACTAGTATGTTCTCCTTCATGTTATCGTTTGGGATATTCTTCTTCTTCTGTATCTTATAACCAGTGGACCTTCTCTGCATTGTGATGCGAGGCTTCTGGGGGTCACTGAACCTCAGTTTGAGGAGACACAGAGACTTGGTGTACAGGTGTTTTCTTTAGGTTTAATCTGTTCCTAAGTCACAGAAGATGATTCACTTGCTGACCTTTGATTGGATATTGCAGATCACCTGTCTGTTTCTCTCTTTGTCTACCAACCTGTAGTCCAACAGCTCTTATTGTGTAATAGACTTCCTATCTGTCACAGATAAGAATCTCCCTAAAGGCTGAGGAGAAGGGGATGGGGTTACCATGGTAACTGGGGAGTCAGTTGACTCAGGTTCACCTGTTAAAGATAAAAATAGCTCCAGCAGGAAGCCCAAGGCCTTTAAGTGTTGGTGCATTAAAAAGAACCAATCAGCGATCAATAATGCAGATGATAAATCCCAGACAATAGGGAATGTTTTCAACTGATTGGTGGAATGAACCTTCAGGCTTCTGATGGAGAAGCAGCTGAAATCTGTCTGGGCTGCTGTCAGCAGATGATGCTCACAGGTAGATGGAGGCGAATGTGCTCTCTGAGTGGATGCAGTCTAATGGTAAATATGACCATATGAAAACTGTCTCTGGTCCTTCACATGTGTTTCAGCACCACGAGTGTCCCATTTCCCCTCGTTGTTCACGGTGTGACGTCTGCTGCCCGTCACTACTGTCACCGTCACACACACACATCAGATGTTGCTATCCTAGTGGGGATATTCCATTGACACAATGCTTTCCCTAGCTGCTTATCCTAACCGTAAACCTAACCATAAAAATGGTAAATGGCCTGTATGGTGCTTTACACATTCAGTCATCCACCCATTCACACACTGGTGACGGCAAGCTACACAGCCACCCTGGGGCGCACAACCATAACCCAATTGTAACCCTGACACTAAAACCACATTTTGAGTGTGAAAAATGCCTTTAACTTGTGGGGACCTGGATTTTGGTCCCCCTGAGATAGGAAAACACACACACACAGGTCAGGTTACAGCTCAGAGGTCTGCAACTAATTTTGGCTCCAGGATCAGTGTGTGTGTGTGTTTGTGGGTGTTCATTATATTACCTTGGCAACCTTCACCTCTGTCACTGCAGAGGTTCAGACTCCGCCTCCTACGTCTGACTGGCTGAGCTCCTTGGCCAGAGTGTTTGTGTCTGATGCTAGAGAGGCAGAGCCTTCACCAATCAGTGTGTTGAACAATGAACGAGAGTGTGTGTGTGTGTGTGTGTGTGTGTGTGCGCGCGCACGTGTATGTGTGAGTGAATACAACCTGTTAACTAAACCAAGTCTCCATAAACATGTGATTCAGAGCACCTGACCTTCAGCACTGACCAGTCGCCTGAAGGTCCTTAGTATTGTAAAGAGTACAGTGAAGTGAGATGACGCCTATGCACACACACTATGGTGACAGTCCTGTACAGCTCGAGCTGCTCACTCAGTCCAGACGATGGCGGTGAACAATCACCAACAACCTGCACCGCCGTGTGCCACGCCAGGGGCGACAATGGTGAACTAGAGCACAAACTTCCTGTTAAAGTTCTTCTTCTACGCCATCAAACCCAGCCCCTCTTACTTCACCTCCGTTTTGAATATGCAAATTAGTCCCAGCTTCTAACTCTCGCCACACATCCACCTTTTACCTGCAGCTCAAGCTGACCTGCTCAAAGAAAAAGAAGGGTGTCTCCTCTCTGCAGTGTTAGAAATAAAACAGGAAATAACAAGATGACATCATCAAACAGCTGTTCTGGGCTCATTGCTGTCAGATGATCCTTCAACAGGTTAGCCCCACCCCTCAGGATGATGTGATCAGGTTGAGTTTGATCAGAGAGCTAAGCAACAGACCAAGCTCAGTTCACAATCACATCAAAGCACCTTCACTGAGGCTTTTATTGTGAAAGGGTTTGTTTCTACCTGCTCAGCAGCTATGGATTGTTTCTCCGCCTCAGGTCGGACTCCTCTGTTCTCCTCCTCTCCTCCTCATGTTCTTCCTGCACTCCAGCACAGCAGAACCCAGAAGAACCCAGAGAACCGCCTCTGATCCTGATCCTCAGCTGCAGCAATGAAGAGAACCACTGAGACTCAGACAGGCTGCAGCGAGGAGGAGGAGGGGGAGGAGCTACAGCCCTGTGTGTGTGTGTGCTTCCTGCTGAGTCAAAAATCACTGTTTCAATAGTTTCATCACTAATAATTTAATTACAATTAAATAATAAATGTTTTACACAGAAAAACAGTCCAAAGAATTCTGGCTGGAGACAGACGGCTGGTTGTGTGTTTTTATTTCTTTTTAGGTTTTCTGTTGTCAGAGTGAGCAGCACAATGTGATGGCTCAGCTCTGATTCTTGGTCTGAGCCACGGCAACGCTGCAGCATTAGCTGACTGAAGCTCTAAGGACTTCAGTGACGCTGACAGGTCCTCTCCGATTACCGACTGTCCAATCAGGAGAGCTTACATCAGCAAACAAAACTGAGACCTCCAACTGGACACAAGGGAGGACTGCTCTCTGATGTCACCTGGGCTGCTGGGCGGGGCCTCACTGTCCTGAGCCAGTGAAGCATTGCTGGAAAAAAAAAGGTTTATTTATTGACTTTTAAAAAATTGATTAATAAAGTTTGATTAATGGATGTGTCACCTGTCAGTGCGAGGGTTCCCTCTGTCCAACCACAACTCACCTGGAAACACACAGGTACGTTATCAGTTCCACTTCCTGTCGCATTTAAAGCAAAGCACACCTGTTTGACGAGGTGATCGCCCAATTAGGTTTCAGTTCAATTCAGCTTCATTCATATCAGTAGTCGCCCCAAACACCTACAATAATACAGAGAAACCGCAACAGCCCCTGTGAGCAAGCACTTTGGTGACAGGGGGAAGGAAAAAACCCCTTATAACAGGAAGAAACCTTCAGCAGAGCCAGGCCGGTTCAGGATTTAATGAATCAATATTGCATTATTCAAATTAAAATACATTTTTTAAAGCCAGCCCTGTTTGACCGACAGCACTGTGAGGAAGCCGGCGCCATCCTCAGCAGCTCACTCACACAGAACTCCCGCCTGCATCGGTCTGCCTGCTCTCTCTGATCCAATCAGCAGGAGGCTTTCAGACTCTGCTGCTGTTTGCTCACGGAGACGCCCGGAGGTCCCCGAACGGGAAGCGCAGCTCCAAATTTAGATCGCTGCAGATGGAATAATAACCTCACGTAGACCTCACTGCAGCTGTGCACATGCTTTCACATATAAATATATTCATGGGTACAAAGTGAATAATTCATCAGGCTCCTTATTATTCACGGTGACTGTGAAGCTTTAAATAGCTTCTCTTCGTCCTCACACAGCTTCAGCTCTGAAGTGACTCCGGCAGTGACAGCCTGCCTCCCTCTTCCTGTGGTGTTCAGGTGCAGACAGACATCAGACAACATGTTTGTGCACACCTTTATAAATCTGACTCAAGGCAACAGGTGCACCCCGGCTCTTCATCAACCTCAATTTCAATTCAAATCACAGCGGTCACCTCAAGATGCTTTGTATTGTAAGGTGTAGCCTACAATAACACAGAGTAACACCCAGCAATCATATGACCCCCTATGAGCAGCACTTTGGCAACAGTGGGAAGGAAAAACTCCCTTTTAACAGGAAGAAACCTCCGGCTGAACCAGGCTCAGGGAAGGTGGGGGTGAGAGGAGGAAGACGACACAAAGACACACCGTGGAAGAGAGCCAAATGATTCAGTGCAGAGTGGTCAATAAACACATAGTGAGTGAAGAAGAAACACCCAGTGCATCATGGGAATCCCCGGCAGCCTACATCTATTGCAGCATAACTAAGGGAGGATTCAGGGTCACCTGGTCCAG